TATATCTGCAGATAAAAATGCACTGTAACGTTGGTTTTAGATGTAAATAGATGAAATCTGGAAGGTATTTTCACAGATGGCAATTCCATAACTTCAATACCAAAAGTTTCCTCAGTCAACTGTCTTAAATCTTCAAGCTCTTAGTGAAGTATTTTGCCATCTGTCTATGCATCCATAGATAGGGCTCAAAGCATAGGACTTGCACTAATTAGCAGTCGAAGAGCAAAATAAATAAAGAAATTCCAAACAATGCTGTGCTGCAGTGCACCACAAACACACAGTCCACGTAATTTAACTTTCTCTGTATGCTTCAACAGTCTTCTGTGTTGTGCTTTGCCTGCTGAGGCACCAAAGCTGAGGCTCCAGCTCCCATCGTAGCTTCTACGTGCGGTGGGTCTGCTGAACACACACACCTTCAGAGTAGGTCTCATCTCTGCCGGATCTCTGGTACATGTGCTCACTGCAGACACGTTTACCCCGCATTCACTTCCTTCCTCAGCTTCCCTCTCTAAATCCTGCTAGTCACTTTTGTTTTGATTAGAACTGGGCTTGCCTGGACCCTGGTAGAAGTCAAGTTTGGAACAAAAGACTCTGCATGGAAACCTCCGTACTTCAAAGGGGGCACTGCTATGTCACATTTAACAACAAGCAGCAAGGTAATACTGATCCCTCTTGCTCGCCCAGAACTTCCAGTTACTCTGAACTACTAAGTAGCTTTTGCAGGCTCCTACCACGATGATGCAGTAATGGAAAATATACGCTGGATAAATGAAATCATTCTTGTGAAAGCACAAAATCATGTGTCATAGAAATTGAAAAAGTCAGTGCTAAATGCATTATGCCACGTTCAACCTTATCTTAGAAGAAGAAGTTAAACTGTGGCTAAAAAATATGAGGACTTCAAAGATGAGGCGTCTGATTCATCATCAAAAAGAACATTTGGCCAAATTAAAGGAAGAGTTTTTAGGCACTGCTTATGCACCTTAGTTGAACAGGCTCAGTAATTTCCCCTCTTTCTTTTGTTACAGGTACTTGCAACAGTAACATACAAGAACAAAACTTAGAACCTAAAAACAACAGTGCAGTTCAGAACACTGTAAGAAAGACTCAGTGCAAGAAAAAAAAAAAAGGTTGTCTCCTATTGTTATCAGATCTTGCAGTAACAGTAACTTGCAGCAGCCATAAGAAAGTTCAGATGAAAGTGAGAAATTTCAAACCAGCCATGTTTCTTTTAATGAGAAAACAAAATACACCAACTCCTGCATGCTGCTCCTCCCTTCCTTCCTCTCCCCATCTCATAAAAGAGGATCCCAAAGAAGGATCACGTTTAAGGTCCCAGTTGAGAAATCCTAGATCAAACTCTCAATGTGGAAAGAATTTGGACTATAGTCAGGTCCAAGAAAACATGTTCTAAACTCATCAACCCACCCCATCTTGAGAAAACACATTTCTCAGAACATGAAATTACAACCCTTGAAATTCACATTTAATTCCATCTATTTACATTCAGCACCCTACTCTTCAGTATCATCTTTTAACATACGTGCTTCATGCTTAAAGAAAAATATTTCTCTAACAATCTATACAAAACATGCATAGAAAACATCCACAGCATTTACACTGCGCTGCCAGAATTTAGCAAGTTACACTTACTGAAGTTGCTTGTACAATTTTGAACATGCAATTGAACATCTTTCTTCCATCAAAGCTTAAATTCTTCTTAGTTCTCAGCAGTGAAGACTTTTTGCATGTGCATAACAGAAGGTTTGCACTCACTTCCCCCCTCCAGTCTGTTTCACCCCTTGACAAAGAAATCATCTAAAATTTAGCAAGAGCTGTTCACACGACTCTGTGCAGAATCCCATCACAAAAGAGAAGTGAGTTATATTATTCACTCCATGCTAACCTATTAAAAGTCCAAAATGACAAACTCCAAACAAAATTCAGTGAGCTGCACACTGTCATTGGCTTGTCTTAAAAGTACTTTTATACCATACTGAATAACCTTAACACATGACAAAATATAAACCATCAGAATAAAGCTATTTTAAAAAGAGAGGGAGGAGGGGGAGCAGGAGAGTAAATGTTTGTAGACATGCCTTATATACACTGCACAAACACGCAGACGCCCATATATAATCACTGACATGTTTCTGCCCGAAATAACGCATCCAACTGCAGGTACCTCATTACCCGAATGGTAACAACCACCTAAAGGTAGTTTGGAGAAAATCAATCACAATGATTAGTGCTGTAGGAAGGACTTAAAAGGTGGAGTTAAAAACCCAGTGCTGCAGCTGTTCTACGAACAGAATTTTCACTGAGTGAAAAAGAAGAGGGGGTTTCAACACAAGCCTTGTCTGCTAAAAATAGTTATCAATATAATTGTGTAATTAGTGAAGCACTGACGCTACAAAAACACGACTGCAATCTGCACACAACCAAGGCTTAACTCCATGAAGAAAGAAAAATCATTCATTGCAAGCTCAAAAAACTGGGCATAATGAGCTTAAACTATTACAAGAATTTTGACTCAACATCCAAGCAGTTTTTGCTCACAGCAAGATCTCATAAGCTGAACATAATCTTACCAAGAAAAGGTAAAGATGAAGCAATGAAAACATTGCTGCAGGTTTCAAGCTAGCTTTAATCTGACTTGTAGCAAGGTAGAGGCTTCTTTCCTCTACTTAAACGGATTCTGTAAAATTATTGCAGAAGGGTGAATGCACACAGAACAGCATGCATGCTTAAATGATGAACTGTTTTCAAAGCAGTTTCTAACAGCAAGATTTTGCTTCAACAGATTAATAAACTCACATCTTTGCCTTGAAAGGAACAGTTCACATGAGCAGATTTTTCAAATGAATGAAGCTAGTAAGAATAGGGTCCTATCAAGCAACCCACTCTGCTGTAAAAGCCGCACTGTAAAATAGCTTCACTGATTTTTCAGAGACATTTTTATGTGCCGGCTGCTACTGGCACCATCGGTCAGGCAGCAGCTAACACACGGCAACCCGTACACCAACACAAATTATCTACATTGTATTCTGAACCAAAGTAGATGCTGCTTCTCTGCATCTCTTCAACTAGAAAAAAAAAAAAAAATCTACTTTTAACTGATGGAAGGAAGATAATGTAAATATGAAGTTCATGCACACTGCAGGTTTTGACAGAAAGAAAAAAAAAGTGAGGAACGTATCTTTGTTGAGAGAGCAATCCCTTGCAGAACATTAATAAATTCCCTGAGGCATATCTCTGAGGAATGCTCAAAAGGACTGAGGCACACAGCCTATGCACAGTGAAAGAAGCCATTTTTCATTGCATTTGGCATTACAACCTGAGAATACTGATAAACTGTAAGTTGCTGAAGTGTCAACAAATACTTTTAATATATCCTGCCTCTAGAAAACTGCATCCTTTCAGGGAGAGGAAACAACAGAACAGAGAACTCCACATTCACCATGCTCGTTTTTTGGGGTTTTTTTTTTTAATTTTTTATTATTTTCTGCAGCTACTGTACATTGTAAGACAGTACACCATGCCCAGCATTACTCAATTGCATCATGTTATCATCCAGTTCAACTCTTGTGCATTTTCACAGCCCTAAAAATATCACTGTTTCCAAATGTATCTTTTTATTAATATTGCTGCTGTTCAATAACATGTAGTAAAAAAAAAAAAAAAAAATTAAAAAACAAAAAACCCCCTTCATTTTCCTATGAAGTAAATTTATGGAATTGCAAAGACAAATGCTGTTACTTAAAAATGTGGGAAGAAGGGAAGATGGTGGGGGGAAGCAGGAAGAATGCTCTTATTTAAGTATATTGTTAATTCAGTTTAAACAACAACAGAAAAAAGCAAAATAGCAGTAGCTAAGTGAGAGGGCATTTATATGCCAGTACAAAATCAGAACTGCAATGATGTAATAAATTCACTATTTAATTCCACGCTTGGCCCATAATTCCAAGTGCAAACAGCTGATACTGATTGCCAAGAGCTTAAGCACAGGGTATGCGTAACACTGTGAAGTCACAAAGAACACAACATGCCACAGCAGCACTGCCTGCAAATTTGAGTCACCCTTAAACGTATTCCTTGAGAAAGCCTGGTGAAAGACAGCACAAACAGACACCAAACAGAATAGAGAAATGGAACTGCTGTGCCCTCATGAACCAACCCTCTCTCCTTCAATACAAATGTCATAGAAAATGGATAACCATGCCAAAAGTTAAGGGGCCTTTCTGCCTCCTTGGCATGCCCCTGGCTAACCTTGAATGGTCCCATGCCCATCTCATATGAGCTCTGAGCGCTTGAGACCCAGGAAAATCTGCATGCACCTTTTCCACAAACCACTGAACGTGGGAAAAGCTCCTCTGGGGTCACGGCTTTGTGGACAACCTCCATCCAAAGGCACCCTGCCATAAGTGCCCACACTCACACTGATGTGCTTAGAAACAAACCAGTAGCCACAGGCCTCTTCCCCAAAGCCTCAGAAAGCTTTTGGTTCACTTCGTCATCACTGCAGTGGTTGGTTTTGGGTTTTTTTTTTTCTGGGAGGGAGTATTTAAAACTCAGCCAAAGCAACCCCACGTTCCAGTGTAGCACCACTGGGACACTCTCAGGCCCGAATTACTGCAAAACAACACTGTAACGATGTCTTAATTTCACTGACTGATCTCAAATGCGCTTTTAAAAAGCAATTCGAGGTTTACAATCAGTGTTTTAAAACGCATTCAAATGTTACCTAAACGAAAAGCGTATTTATTTCTTCTTTCGGGAGTCTGCTTTTAAGCACTTCCAAGGAAAACCATCTCCAGCTGCAGAGCACAAGCCAACAAGCCACTTATCCCAGCAGCACGCTGTCCATTGAACTTACCCAAGGCAACTCTCTAATTACGGATGCTCCCAAATACCGAGGGAGCCACGTTACTTGCCTACGTGTGAGCCCACAGCCCTGCTGCACCTAACCAAAGAGGAGAAAAGACAGAAAAGGCTCTTACTTGGTGCACAAAGACATCAACCGGGGACTCCAAGGGGCTTCCCTCTCGGCTGCTCATGGAGATGAACCCGAATCCCATCCTCACATTGAACCATTTGCAGTGGCCGGCTCCGTGCCAAAGCGGGGATTCCTCCTCCTCCTCGTGCTCCGGCAGCCGCACGGGCTCCTCACCGCCTTTACTCGCCCCTGCTGAGGGAGAGGGGGCAGGGGAAATGAGAAAGAGAAAGATGCAAAGAGGAGTTAAATTCTGGGAACATCCTTTGGCCAACGTGTAAATCAATTACTAAGGAAGAAAGAAGGAAAAAAAAGAAAGAAACGCGAACGAAACGCGGTGAGAGCAAACTGCGGCAGAAGCCCGTTTGCTGCTGAGTAAGGAAGCAGGCAGTCAGCTCCCGAAATGCGTCCACCGGAGGCCTCGGCTCGGCTCAGCCTCGGCCCGACCCCTCTCGCCACCACCGCTCCATCCGCGGCCCCATCCCGGCCCTCGGACGTTACTTGGGTGTTGCTGCTTTAAGACCGATCCCATTTCCCGAGCGCGGCTCCCGGCCCAATCAGTCCCTCCTGGCGCGGCGCGGGCGGACGGGGGGGGCTGTACTGCCGGCTACGGCACGTGCGGCGCGGCCACCGCCGCTCCCCAGCGTGTGCCCATCGCTCCACGGAACGCGCTCCGGGCGGCGGCCGGGACAGGTGTAGGGGCGCGCTCTCATCCCGCCGCCGGGACGGGGCCCGGGCGGACGGAGCCGGCGGACAATGGCCCCCGGGAGCCGCTCGGGGCTGAATGGGAGGGGGCGGTCCGCGGCGGTCCGGAACAATGAGACCGCGGCGGCCCCCGTGCGCGGGCCGCTAACAGGGGAATGCGGGGGGGGGGGGTTAAGGGAGGGCGGGGGGAGCGAGCGAACGAAACCGGAGTAAAACAATAGAAAAAGAAAATTAACCTTCGGCCATGTTGCCCCACGGGCCCTCTGCTCCAAACTCGTGAGATGAAAACTTTCCCTTTGGATCGAAGTGCTCTTCTGCTTTAACCCAACATCCTGCGTCTGCACGAGCCCCAATTTCGCTCGCATGGTCCAACGTGCTTTCCCCCTTTTGCCTTTTCCCTTTCTCTGGCGCTCGGTCTCTGGCCCCCCGCGCACACGTGACTTTGCCAATTACATGCTTTCTCGCTACTAATTTCGCATCGGGTCCTGAAGGGGTTGGGAGAAGCTGCAGCAGCCAATCGCCTTCTCTACGCGCCTGACACACCGAAATAATTTATGAATGAACACGGCATTTCCAACGCGGCTTTTTTTTTTTCATTTCTTTTTTTTTTTTTTTCTCGGCAGCTCAGCCGCGCGGTGCCGTGCGGGAACCCGCGGTGCTACACGTGCACACGGCCGGAGCACACGGGCGGCAGCTGCGGGGCCGGGCGGCACCTGAAGAGCGCCAGGCTCGGCCCTTCGGAGCGCTCCTCGAGGGGGATGGGGGGAGGCACTGGGCTTCACAGGTTTCTCCGCCATCTCTTTCCGGGGGAGGGGATGTGATTAATGACTTCCTAAATAGGAGCCCGGTTTTCAGGGCTGGTGGGAGAGCGAACCTCGGGCGGCGGCGATTGTTCCCCAGGAGCGCGGTGGGGAGGGGGGAGAAAGAGGAGGGGGAACGGCAAAGGATTTGCTGGAGAGGAAGGCGGAAAAAAAAAAAAAAAAAAAAAAGCGAGAGAAGGAAAACAAAGAGAGAACAGACAGCGCGGACCGGCGCTGCTGCGCTAAATTCCCGCTGCAGGCGGGCGGGCGCGGCCCCGTGTTTCCGCGCAGGTGGGCGCACCGTGCGCTGCCCGCGGCCGGGCTTCAACGCGCAGAAAGAGCGCGCCGCGCCGCTCCCCATCACTCTCATCTCCTCCGTAGTAAAGGTAGACATGGAGGTACGAAAAGAGACTTTGCTTTCTCTCGCCGCCTACCCGCGTGTCACCACGTCACGCGCCCTTTCCACGCCGCCCGCCCCTCGGGCTCCGCTCCTCTCCCATCACCCGTCCGCACCCCTCGGTGTCCCCGCCGAGCCGGCAGCGGTGAGCGGGCTGCAGCCCTGAATTCCTCCGCAGCCTCCAGCCGGACGTTTCCCAGAGGTTACTTCTGCGGTCGGCTTCCTGCGCCGAGCTGCTCCAAGCACCGCTCCCCTCTGCTCTTAGCCTCCTCCCTCCGTGCGACAGCGATTATTTTACCATATTAAATCTCTGTAATTTTATATGGTTGGATCTTATGGCCGTGACGATTTGTAATATGTAACAAATATAGGAGATGTTAACGCGCATGAAACCTCAGCCATGGAGGAGAAATTCAGGTCACCTGCGGGAAAAATGCTTACAACACCGGCTGGAAGTGTCTGAGACCACTCCCAGAGCAGCAGAACGACCCAAAATTAGGAGCTCCCTCTGCCCCTCTTTCAAAAAACACTCCATACGCATGGCAATGAAGACCCCTCGGATGGGAGCGTGTGGGATGAACAGGCACAAAAGCTGCTCAAGCCCATCAAATGGTTCCAAAACGTCCCTGCTCAGTACCTTCCATTTAAAATAAAATTAATTATGTGATGTTTTTTCGATTAATAAAAACGAGGGATTGGTAACTGCACTTATATTTGTTGTGATGTTTTTACGCTGCAAAATAAATGCAGGTTTTGTGAAACGGGGGAGCGTACGTGCAAGGAGACTTTCCTGCGATTTTCAGGCCTCCAGTATTAGTGGAATTAAGGTCGGGGTCACCGGACCGGGCGGCGGTGTCAGATGTTATCGGCTCACTCATTTCCTGCGGGGACATCGGCCTTTCAAGTGCTGAGGGAGAGCTGTGGCAGCCGGGGGGCTGCGGAGAGAGAGGGAGGGAGAAAACAGAAAGAGAATAAAAAAAAGAAAAGAATGAAGAAAGAACAGCGGAGCACCGCCCAGCGATGCCCTCACAGAACCCATTCGCTGAGAATGAGCCCTAATTTTTCCCGTTGGAGGGGGCGGGCAGCCCAGGGAATAAACGGGAAGAAGCCCATAGAGCGGGTCAGGGCGAAGTTAGCTGAATGGCAGCAGCCCGCAGGCACAGAGGTGTTTCTGTCCTCTCGTTTCGCTACAGAGATGCTAATTTGGATAGAAGACAACTACAGGAAGCGGATCGTTGTCTGCATAAACGCACTGCGAGCCCACTTGAAACTACATAACCAGCGGCGATAGTTTAATCGCCACACTCCTAAAACTTTTAAAGTCCTAACTCCGATTACTTCTATCCTTAAAAAAAGAAAAAAAAAAAAAAAAAAAAGGGCACACCCCCCCATCCCTCCCCCCCCCGAAAACCCACACAGAACTACATCGACAATGACGGCAAAAGCGACACAAACCCGGCAGCACTCCTCGTGCCTCCGAACCAACCCCGGGCTTGCACGTGAAGCGGAGCCACGGCTACAGCCTCGCTGCATCCGAGCCGCCCTCCTCTCAGAGAGGGGGAAGCCCCTCCCCGCGGGGGTCGGAGGGGCCGCCCTCCTGCCCTACGCCGGGCAGCGCCCCCTGCCCCGGAGAGCTGGGGAACGGCAGCGTGTAGAGGGCAGAGCCTCCCAGGGCGGGGACCCCGGGCCCGGGTCTCGCTCAGCCCCGGAAGATCCATTAAAGAGATCAAAGACGGAAGGCTGCCCGCCGGGCCGGTTTCAGGTGGCCCCGCGGCCCGGCTCCCGACCCACCCGCGGGACTCGACGTGATGGCGGTGGAGCTCCCGAGGCAGCGGCTCTTCCCGCCAAAACGCCTCACCTAGGCGCCCGAAGCCGCTCCTTCCTTTCCGCCGCGCACAGACGCCGCGCAGCGCTCGTCCCGAGGGCAGGCTCTGCGCCGCCCGCCGCGCTCCACTGTCAGCAGCGGCTCCACGGCTCCGGGACCCGCTTTCCGTCCCCAACACCTCCGGAGGGCGTCTGAGGTGGCGGCTGTGCCCCGCCGCACCCCCACGCGGAGCGCAGCTTTCCATCCTCCATTCGACGCCCCCAGAAAACGCGGCTCCCCTCGGAGGCGGGAAGGTGGCGTTTAACGAACGGCCCCCGAGAAACTTTTCTAACCATGAAACGAATTAAACGAGCTCCGCTGCGCTCCGGCTGTCCCGAGGCGGGAGGCGCGGAGGAAACGGTCGCCAGCGCCAGGCAGACAGCAGCGCCCTCCGGGAGCCGTCCGCGCGGCAGCCCGTGTCCCTAATGGGGGCGACCGGGGGCGTCCGCCGACGCCGAGCACGCATCCCTCAGCTCCGGAGCGCCGTTCCACGCAGTCCCCGCGTGCCTCGGCGCGCACACAGGTGGGAACCCATCCCAGCCGGCTTACGGGACTCAGCCGGGCCAAGAGCGCGCAGCCACCGCCCTTCAGCGGCGCAGCTCCCCTCCGCGGGAGCTCCGCGCCTCCCGCTCCGCGCATGCTCCGCGGCAAGCGGGCGGGCGCCCGGGAGAGAGCCCTTGGGGGCGGGAGAAGGCAGCGTCCCACCGCCGCAGCGATTCGAAGGCGCCATGGAAGTAGTTCGCCTAGTTGGGATCTTAGCGACTGAGCAGAGCCTTTGGGAAGCGCGCCTTTGTGGCAGCTCCTGAGCATCTGGGCTCATACTTTACAGCAGGTACCCAAAGGTATGCTACGCCAAATCAACTTCCTCTATAGAATGGTTTACTTGTCGTATTCAAAGTACGTCAAGCAAGAACTCTGAAGCTTGTGGATGAAACCAATGATTCTTTCAGAAAAGTAAATGAACTGAGGCAGTGGAACAGAAGTACTACAAAACTGCAGTTTCACAGATACAAAACGAGCCACGTAAGATGCTACAGAAAGGACTGACCTGAGCCTGAGGAGACCTTCTTGAATGACCTCATCGTCTTCTGAGGAACCTAGAATCAGAGAGCTGGAGTCAGTGCTGTGTACATTGTACCGAGTTCCATATTTAATTACCTCTTCTACAGTTTAACGGCTCATTAAAAGGCCATAAAATGCCGGTACTTGGCTCTGTGAAGTGACCTGTAACCGTACGGGCTGCGAGACTTACCTAGCTCATCAGAAACGCCAGGAGATAACCAAGACATAGCATGAAAACCAGCCGAGTCTCTCTTTTTAAAGCATCCTTAAAAGCATCCTCCCTTTTACCACGCTCAAGCAAGCTGTGCATCTGATGGCAACAGAAGGAAGAGACACAGATTTGCAGGGCAGTGGAAGCTGTTCTTTCCCTTTATCAATATTTAAAGCTAGTAGGTAACTTAAGAACAAGTGACTCTTGTCTTCCCTATGTGTAAATAGTACAAATTAAGCGCTCAGTCATACATGATACATGATATTAAAAAGTGATAAAAAAGACATTGTTTGGTATCTTTCCTTTCAAAACTGTAACTCAGTGCCATTTTGAGAAAAATATTTTCAGTTAAATCAGATAAAGAATTACAGCATAATTTGTAACAAAGCTACATTCTACATCCCAAACAGAATTATTCACAAAAGTACAGATGTTTAGCTTTACCAAAACTCCATGGAAAGTACACTTTTGACCTAGCTGAGCGAGGCCTGGGTAAGTTTGTACAATAAAATACCATGCAGAAACCAAGTATCACAAACAGTGGGAAGCATGGAGGAAAAGACCTTGGGTTTGTGTAATCCTGTGAGCCAGGCTATCCAAATTTGTTCAAAGCAAGAAAGATGAAGAGGCAGGAGCATGCACAAACTCACCTGCTACAAACTTGTCCACTTGTCACCCTTTCCTACCTTTTGGTTAATCTACTTTAACTAAAATGCGACCAAAGCACGTATCTTCCTATTTAGATGTAAGACGGATTCTCTTTTCTTTTAGAGAAATCTAAGATTTGTCTTTTTCACTATGGAAGAGTGTGGCCTGACCCCTGTTTTTCCTGAGCGGGAGGGAAGAATATTCCACTAGAAGTGAGCAAAGCCAGAAGATGAATTATCAAAGACAAATGAGAATCAAATTTCTCAGGCTTCCTCTTCCCCCCATGCCCAATCATTCTGTGTCCCTTACAATGCTGGGAATTGGAAAATGGTGTGGCGCTGTCTTTCCTTTCTGTGCAATGACAGCAGAAAACAAATTCTGCCCCTCCCCCCTGGTAATAACTGGGTTTTTCGTAAGAATTGTGTGGACTTGTGCTCTACATTGAACCTAACCCTGCTTTTACACCTTCAAGCACTATAGTCCAATCTCTGTGTTTGCTTCTTTGTTCAGCCAACCTGTGGCTATGTGGCTTTTGTGTCTTTCGGATTTACTTGCATTATTTATGCAACATAATGAAATATGCAAGCATAGAGTAAAGGATCTGTTCTTGGCTTTGACGTGAAGTCTGCCTCCGTTTATGAAAGGACTAAAAATAAAGCACAGTTCTTAAAACTGTGGTAGAAAACAGCACAAACACGTTACTCTTCTTTCCATTATCAGTGTTCCAAAGCGTTTCTAAGCACTGCATGTTTGAAAATACTACATAAACATACCACATTATTAAGCAGAAGGAAGGACATGCAATTTTATCTATTTATTTATAAAGTAGTTGTTTTAAATAACTTCCCAGTAAGATGCACAGAACTTGCCACCAGGGATGTTAGTATGGAAGAGCCTGAGCATTTTAGGAACTCATTTAATCCAGACAGCTTAAATGAAAAACTCAGCAGTATGTATTTTGCTGCATCCCACTGCAACCTACAAGAATTCAGTCACTGACTTAAAGGGAAGCAGGCTGGGCTCTGAAAGGACTGATGACCAACTTTCCTACACCCCCTTATACTGTACAGAATAAAAGAAAGAAAACACTTATGCTTGTTAGTTCTGAAATTATTTTGGCATTTACATGAACTTTACAACTTTGTATAATAAATGACTTTTAGGAGATAAGTTCTAAACAGCAAGATATTTTAGAAAAAAAGGCTCCCTATTTGAAAGCAGCCCCAGCTCTGCACTCACAGTGTGCAGAAGGATACAGGTGCAGCTGAACACCATGTGGAATTATTGCAAAACAATTAAAGATGTACTGATAGACATCAACAGCAATCCACACCTCTTTACAAGTAGCACATTGCTTGCTTTTCAACTTGCTTAGCAGCTTGTATCATTTATTTCTTTTATGACTTCTTACTGCTATCTTCCACTGATCAATAAGTTTATACATGATTTTGTTTAAAAAGTCTCTTTGCTAAGCAGTGTTTTGATTTTCACATCATAAACCCATTAGTGTGGGGAAGTTTGCTGCCTGGGAGATTCAGAAATGTAATTTCCTCAGATGAAAGCAAAATTGACATACATAGTTACCCCATTAAATAAGTTATGTGGTTTCCTTGAAAAATAACTCAAAAATGAAATTTCAGAGGCTAACTCTGCTTCTTTCACAGGCAGTGGTAGCAAGCAGACTGATTTAAAGCCACAAGTTTTTTTTGTGTGTGTTTTTTTTTTCCAGGAATGGCTACTGTAAGCACTACCTACAGTGAGGAAAGGAGGAGAAAACTAGCAATACTTCATGCTGTAACAAACGAGGAACAGGGGAAAACATGCACTGTTAAGGGAGCTCTTTAGCAGAGCTCATCAGCAGTAAAGGCTTAAATGGATGAATGCTACAAAGTACATCCAAAATTTAAAACCTCTATATACAGAACCCAAGTATAGGAGGAGCATACAGTATCTGTTTTTACTGTTTTAAATTTTTATTTTGGTCAAATTCTATTAAGTTAGGAAACACACTTTATAACCAATTTGTTGTCTGTACTTTTAACCAATCAAAAAATGGTTATCTTTTGCTTGCAGTTGTTGACTGCTGGCTGAAGCACTGTGCTCACCGTACTTTGGCTTCAGAAATCATGAGTGAGCATTGCCTTACACTCTGAATTAACTTGTTTTAAGAATTTTCACCTGTGTTCTTTAATGTGGACTTCTAAATAATGGATATGTTCCTGGGGAGTTCTCCTTGTTTTAACTCTTCTTCTGTTTTCGTTTCGTTATGTAAAATAGTGAGAATGAAATGCACAACAAAAGACTCCTGAAGATGGATGCTCAGCTGTCGGTATCCTTACGGAATTACACCGCTAAAAAATATGTGGATGTTCTCACAATTTAATTTAGCCTAGGCAAAAATTTATTTAAAATATTGGCGAGAGAGTACATGTTGAGCACATGTGAGAATTCCAAGCATCAATGCTGAAATACTTCAAAACTGCTGGTTCAAGAAAATTCATTAAACAATAGCTAGGAAAAACCCAGTTTTTATTCGTTGGGTCCTATTTTGTAACTGATCTGATGTAGGATAGTTACAGTTTGAATAGGATGCAATTTTTTTAATAGGATATAGGAAATAGGATTTCTCTTTAAAATGAAATACTGCTGTTATATTCATATGGACTGTATTTTTGCATTAAAGTATTTAGGATTCATCTAACTTAGAGCTTTAATAATACATACTAAAGGAATGTCCTGAACAATATATATATATATTTTAAAACAGGCACTGGATAACCCCAGTTCTTAGGAGTATTTCATTTATATAATCCTTCATTTCATGCAGTCTGCATTTAGTTGTACAAAGGTTAAGCAGCCAAACAGTAATTACTTCATAAAAACCAATGAAATATGTTGCAGCTCATGTTTTATAAGATTCAAAGACAACATTTTCAAAATACATGATTAAGAAAAGTGCAACCAACACCTCTCCTACTGCTGCTTTTCCTGCTTCGTTTTTGTTGGCAGCGCTTTGATCCCACTCATGGTTACCATGGGCATTTTGAAACTGCCACAAATTCATTTACTGTAGGTCCTGTTTGCTTCTAAGCAAATGAAATCATGAGAAACAACCTTCCTTCTGATGGCATTCATTTGCTTTCAGACTGATTTTTTTTTTTTTAATCATTATTACTTTTAAACTAATTCCTTTTATGGAAAAAAAAAAAAAAAAAACAAAAAAAACACAAAACCCACCAACTTTAAAAGCCATAATCCTAAATCTATTGGTAGATCAGCATGTTTTTCAGATATTGTACTTATTTTTGTGTGTGAGAAACTACACTGATTTGTAAGTTCACAGGCAGAGAATAAAATTTCTCTGCAAACAAAACAATACAAATAAAGCCCTGCAGAGAGATATTTCGAAGGCTAAAGGAAGAAAGATGTGCACACCTACAAAGGTAAGAAGGCAAATTCAATATTTGAGTTTTTAGTTAAAGGAAAGTCTTTTTTCCCCATTCTCCAAGCTTACACCAAATTGAATGTCTATCATTCATGTCTGATGTAAAAACATCACAGTTTTAACCCAGAATTCTGTATGCTTTTTCTCCATGTAAAACCACTGTTTAACCAAGTTTAGAAGTAATGAACTGCATAATTCATAATTTTCATTTAGTACCAAAGCACTCTCACCAACCAGGAGTTTAATACCAGCCCATCGAAAGCAACTGTGCTACAATGACTTGTATTAAGAAAACATTCTACAGACTTTGGTTTGGTTTTGTACAATAATTTCAGCATGGTTTGCTCAAACCTCCTCTCCATGCTGAAATATAATAATAATACTCTACATTATGCTAATAATTGTTTTTATGGAACTTACACTGAACCTGTGGCATATCCTTTCCCTTGCACATATTTCTATTTTATTGTTACATGCCATTACATTATTTTTTTCTCGGATCGCTGAGTTAATACTTGAGAATGAGCTTTTAATAGAGATTTTTTTTTTCCTGTCATTTGTATTTTTAAGTGCAATGAGCAAATACTGCTGTGAATACAGAGATTCAGCAAGGAATGAAACAGGCAAACCAAAGGTTACAACAGGAAAACAGAAGCTCACTATTTCAAGCACCACTATTATTTTTTCCCAGAAGCATGGATTGCACAGGGGGGCAT